ATAGAATGAATTTGGAAGTGTTGCTTCCTCTTCTATGCTCTGAAATAGCTTGAGTAGTACTGGTACAAGCTCTTCTGTAAATGTTTTGTAGAATCTGAGACATTATTTTAATTGTACAGTCTTGGAAAGGATTATAATTACAGGCTCTGGTGGTACATTCAGTCATTCATTTGGGTTAAAGAAGCTGAAACCTGGGTCATAAGGAATGCAACAATCAGCGTATCTGCATACCTATCAGCCTAGAATGTTCTTATAAATTATTCAGGCTGACAAATAATGGTACATAGTTGATACGCAAAAAACAGAACAAGATAGCATGTAAGTTCAGGTATCTAACCCAGGTCTCATATCTCATCCTTGTCCTTATTCATCCTGTCCCTGTAATCCTCTTAATTACAGTCTGGTTTGCATATCAGCCCATTGACTTGTCTAAGTTTTTACTCTACAGGAGTAGTTGAAGTCATTCCTGATTTTTGCATCAGCAAATCTGCTTGGCTGCTCATTTGAGCAGGCCCTATCTTGCAAAACTCTGCTGGTCTCTTTAAAATTCTGTCATTCCCTCATCTTTTAGCAATAAAGCGTAAGAATTCAGTTGTGTTTACTTTAGGACTTATTAGAGCCTGGCCTTCTTTTCACTGGCTACCAGGAGCCTCATTCTCTGAAGTTATCCATTTGTAGTAAATCCACCTCTCTAGTATTTTTGAATGACCTGCTTATTTTGTAGCTTTGGGGGATAGTAGCAGACATCTCAGCAGCCTTGCCAGTTCTTGGACTCTGCTTTTGTTCCACCCATTGCTGGGCTCATGGACACCCAGTCATCTGCTTTTCATTACCTCTAGGAGAGAATATTACTGATCCCCAGGATGGCCCACATGAAACTTGTGTTTTGAAAAATACGCAGGAATGAAATGTGTCTCATGCAAAGTGGTCATAGACATACAAATCTGTAACTAGTGCCATATGTTGTATAAAATAGATTTAGTTGAGAAAAACTTACAAGCAGAGAAATAGTAGAGTACACAGTCACAGGAATTTCCTTGGTTATGTAAGAGAAAATTCTCCTGCTTAGGAAATTCTGATTTTGCATCAGAGCAAGAATTTCTTGCTCTTCTCTCAGGTCTTCAAGCCTCCGGAACACAGATCTTGCATGCGTCACATCAGCCTTTTAAAAATGTAACAACTTCTGTAGCTAGCCATTGGTTCTGAATATATAGTCTCAACAGTTGAGGGTACTAAATGCTTTGATATATTTTAGTGCTTTTTATCTGAAACCCTTGGAATCTTATCTTATTTGTTAGTAATATTTTGTTTTTATAGGTGGTTATGCACCATTTCTTTCTTTGGCTACTAGAGAAAGTTCTTTTACTGCTGGCTGTGACACTGAGAAAGCTGCTCCAGGTCCAGGACACTACAATGTTTCAAAAGCACAGGTATATTTATAATTGTCTGAGTTAATAAAACTCATGTTTTCTTTCCCAGTAGGCCAAAATGTTATTTGTCGTATTTTATTTTCCCCCCATTATTATCCCCTTCCTCCTTTTAATCCATATTTTATACTTAGAATATTATAGAAAATAAATGTGTTCAGTGTTGGTTGTCTGATTGGGTGTTCTTCACTCTTCTGTAAAACGCGAAACATTGCTATGTGTTGCATGGGTCTTTGAGACCCTTGAATAAGATAATAGGACCTTTGAATGAATTATGTCCTATGAAAATTGTGCAAATGGTCAAGCTATGTAGAAAAGGAATGACAATAGAGTGAAGGAACTGGTTTGTATACCATACTTTAGAGGTATAACCATTACCATCATCTCGTCTATCTCCTATTTCTCCATAATTCCAAGAGTCTGTGACCAGAATATCCTCAATGGTTCATCCTTTTGAAAAACAGTGGCTATAACTCCAATACCTTTATAATCATAAGCATTAACTTTTACCCTTTTACATAAATTTTGCATTCATACATAGTGGTTCTTAGCTGACTCCAGCAGATCTTTAACTCCTCCATTTGGAGGCCTAGAATCAGTCATTGATGATTTTATTTTTTCCATTAGTCTTCCTGAATTAATGATATTAATCACTCAATCAGTTAATTTTTGTTTGCAAACAATAAAATAGATTTTTAAGACAGATTCTAGTGGGACAATAAAAAGTTTATAGGAAAGGTAGTTGGGTGGTTCACAGACTTGAAGGAAGAATAGAACAATTATGTTTCAAGGAAGGACAGGACCAAGACAATTCCAGGTATTTCAGTAGCAGAGCTTGTGGGTCATTTTGACATAGAACTACCATCAGATAACTCAATTCTGTAATTTCCTTCCATTTTCTATGTGTGTCTTCAGTCAAGATTAACATTCTCAGCAGGGAGAAGCTAACCGGCTTAGTTTGGTTATGAACTCATACCTATTTCTGGGGGTAGGGGACCTTGTATTTGCCAACTGTTTCAAAACCATAAAGTATGGGAGAAGTTTAATTACCCCATGAATGGCGAATATGCTGTTATGAGCAGATGATAGAAGGGATGCTGGGCAGACAAAAACAGTAGATTTCCATTACATTTCACCCCTTGATTGCCTGGTTCTGTATCACACAACACACACACTGTTTTCTCCATACTGTGGTGTAAATGGATTGCTTTTGTGTGGCCTGTCTAGCCATGGTCTTGTAACTCCCACCCAAGCAACTGGGCAGAATTGTGTGATAGGGTAATCGTGGATCACCAAAGGGATTGGCCAGTTTTGACATCCTCTTGGGCTTAAAATGAACCACGCCAGAGGCAAAAAAGAAAGAATTCCACCACCACCAAGGAGGAACAGCCAGGAGCCAGTCAGTCCTTTGGACCTGGGGTCCCAGTGAATTGAAGCTTCTAGAACTGGGCAGGGGCGGGGGAGTGGAGAGAGAGAGAGAGAGCTTGAGAAGCAGTGGCAGAGACCTGGTAGCAGAGACCCGGTAGCAGGAGATGGTAGGGTGGGCTTCCCGGCCCATGAAAAGAGAAAGCTGAGTGCCTTTGTGCAGAGGCCTAGGGCCAGGGAGAGGCGTGCCTGTGAGCACAGCTGGGAAGAGGCTGTCCTGATGGAAAAACTGTATCCTGAGCTTTCCTGAACCTGAATTGTAACTGTTACTTCCCTAATAAACCCCATAATCGTGAGCATTGTCTGTGAGTTCTGTGTGGCCCTTGCAATGAATTATCAAACCCAGCAGAGAAGTAGAGAGTGCTGTGAGAGGGACAGTTGGTGTCAGAACTGGTAAAGATGGCGGATTGAGGAGGTATATCTGACCTCTGCTTCATAGGAATCAGCCTTGGGCTGTTGATATTGATTCTCCTTCCCCCTCGTGAAGTGAGAGGAGGTCAGACACCACCTCCATATTGTTTTTACACATACATACAATTAAAAAAATGCAATTATCTTATGTAACCCAAGTATATATAAGAAAGTATGCGTGCTTTGCAAGTATATCTCCCTAAAGGAGCCAAACTAATGTCTAGCTACAACATTCAGAGATGATATTATGGTGTCACTGTAAACTGAGTCCTAGATGTCTAGAGTAAGGTCATTTCTCCTCCTGTTTCTTCACATATCTGTTTCATTATTTGGCAACCCTATTGAGCCCTGGTAGCTCAGTGGTTAAGCATTCTGCTGCTAACCAAAAGGTTGGCAGTTTGAATCCACCAGCCACTCCTTGGAAACCCTATGGGGTAGTACTACTCTATCCTAGAGGGTTGCTATTAAATGGTAAATATAACATGAAATAATATAAAGAAGTGATTAGACCTGTGGGCTCTGGAGCTAGACTGCCTGGGTTCTAAACGAGCCTCTGCCATTTCCTAACTGTGAGATTTAATCTTAACCGCTTACTCTTTCTGGGCCTTAGTTTTCTCACTTGTTAAATAGAGATAATAACTTCATAGGGTTGTTTTGAGGATTAAATAGGTTAATAAGCATTTAGAATAGTGGCTGAATATAGTTAACATTCAATAAATTTCAGCTATTATTTATGTTATTACTTATAATAGTAGGGGAAAGAAAAGAGGGAAAGTGAAAGAAAATGATGCAGGAAGCAAGAAAGTACAGATGGGAACCATAGATCTTATTTCTGCAACTGGTTGTGAAGCTATGAGTGGCTTAAGATTTTTCCATTACTCATTCTATGTTCCCCATATCTTCAACAAGGACTTTATATGATGGAGCTCTTGCCTTGATGGGGTGACCAAAATCTTCAGTTCTAAGGAATCTGAGCTTAGTCATATTGCTTCTCATGTTTTTCAGTGGTGTTCTGTTAGTATTTTCACTGGGCCCTATGATACAAGGAAGCTCTACAGTGTGCCCTTGGGTTCCATTCCACCATACTCCCATCAGTCCTTTTTCTCCATCCTGGTTAGGGTTAATCACTTTGGCCATTATGCTAACCTCCTTGTTTTACCTTCTGCTTCTTAGCATTGAGAGACTGGAATTGCTAGTTGTCTTAGTTATCTAGTGCTGCTATAACAGAAATACCACAAGTGGATGGTTTTAACAAAAAGAAGTTTATTTCCTTACAGTAAAGTAGGCTAAAAGTCCAAATTCAGGGTGTTAGCTCCAGGGCAAGGCTTTCTGTCTCTCGGCCTTCTCATCAGTGTTCCCCCAGACTAGGAGCTTCTCAGCGCAGGGACCCTGGTCCAAAGGTCGCGCTCTGCTCCCAGCACTGCTTTCTTGATGGTATGAGGTCCCCAATTCTCTGCTTGCTTCCTTTTTATCTCTTGTAAGGTAAAAGGTGGTGCAGGCCACACCCTAGGGAAACTTCCTGTACATCAGGGATGTGACCTGGGTAAGGGTGGTGTTACAATCCCACCCTAATCCTCTTTAACATAAAATTACAATCACAAAATGGTGGCCAACCACACAACTCTGGGAATCACGGACCAGCCAAATTGATACACACATTTTTTGGGGGACATAATTCAAACCATGACACCAGTAGTCTTAGCTTCCAATTCGGTGGGTCACTAGAGCCGAGAGCTGTGAGGACAGAAAGCACAAAAAAAAAAAAAAAAAAAAAAAGATAGTGGTTCATTAGGTAAATCATCAGAAGTGTCATCCATGCTTCCACTCCTTTGTCCACAGATCAGTTTGTTATAGGTGTTGGGGAAACGATATATTGGCTGCTTGTTTAACATGTTTACTTAATTTTACAAGACAGTACCTCCATATTGAAACAAATAATTACAAGTGCTATGTTAGAAAAAGCACTTAAGAGAGGTTTACAACCAAGGCTTGGAGGAATGATTATGGAAGGCTTTCTGAAAGAACTGATGTCTGTGTTGAAACCTGCAGAAAAATGCAGGTAAGCTAGGTACTGATAACGCATAGAAGACAAATTACTGCTTTCTGGGATTTATAATTTTAACAGGGAAGTAGTGAATGAAATTCAGTACAATACAGTTGATTAAATGATTATCTGTCATGGATTGAATTGTGTCTCCCCAAAATGTGGGTCAGCTTGTCTAGTCCATCATTCCCAGTACTGTGTGATTGTCCACCATTTTGTCAACTGATGTGATTTTTCCTATGTGGTATAAATCCTACCTCTATGATGTTAATGAGGTGGGATTAGTGTCAGTTATGTTAATGAGGCAGGACTCAATCTATAAGATTAAGTTGTGTTTTAAGCCAATCTCTTTTGAGATATTAAAGGGGGAAGCCTGCAGAGAGACATGGGGACCTCCATACCACCAAGAAACAAGAACCAGAAGAATAATGCATCCTTTGGGCCCAAAGTCCCTGTGCTGAGAAGCTCCTCAACCAGGGGAAGATTGATGACAAGGACCTTCCTCCAGAGCCAACAGAGAGAGAAAGCCTTCCCCTGGAGCTGGCGCCCTGAATTTGGACTTCTGGCCTCCTAGAGTGTGAGATGATAAATTTATTTTTGTTAACGCCATCCACTTGTGGTATTTCTGTTGTAGCAGCACTAGATGAATAAGACAATATCATAGAGCTATAATCAAATGTTCACTAGTAGCCCAAACACTCATATATTCTACTTGGAGGGAATAGAGGATATCACAATTGAACTGGATTTTGAAGAAGGATTTATTAAGTAGTGAAAAAGGATGGGAAAAGATATTCCATGCAGAGAAAACCACATCCATAAGGCATTGGGGTGTTTAATGGCATGGTGTGTTCAGGAAAGAACAAGTTCTTTGGAATGTTTGGAGTGCAGAGTCTAAGGAGGAGTAGTAAGAATACAGGTTGGAGAGGGAGGTAGAGAGTATATTTTGGAAAATCTTGACATCATGCAAATAATTTTTTCAAAGTACCAGATGGTGGGGAAGGATGCAGCACTGAAAGTGCTCACTTGTCCTATGCCAAGAGATTTGGAAGGCAGCTGCCTGGCTAACCGACTAGAAGAGATCCATATTTGTGCCCATTCCAAAGAAAGGTGATCCAACAGAATAGGGAAATTATCGAACAATATCATTAATATCTCATGCAAGTAAAATTTTGCTGAAGATAATTCAAAAATGGTTGCAGCAGTACATTGACAGGGAAC